GTGCGCGCGCCTGCACGAACTGGGCGGAGCTGCCCCGGCGGCAGGGCGCGAGCTCCTCGAGACGTTGTGGGCGCGGGGGCCTCGCGAGCACGTGCTGAACGTGGCGGGCGAGGCGCTGCTGCGCGATGTAGACCCGCAGCCCGCTCACGCCGCAGACTCTGCGGGTGCGAAAGAGACACAGGAACTGCTGCGGTGGCTTCTGGACAGCCCCGAGGTCTTGACCGCTTTCTGCCGCCAGCTGTCTGCCGTACGCCTGGCCTCCTTGGCCGACCGCCACCCCACGCTGTCTCGCGCCTACCTGGGCCTGCTCACAGCCTGGGCCACGCAGCTGCACTATGACCTGCAGAAGGGCTCCTGGGTCCCCACGCAGCCTGAGGACGTGCCCTGGAAGGAGTTGTGCCTCCGGCTGCAGAGCTTGTGCCAGGCCCCACCACCCCTGCAGGAAGAGGTACTGGAGACTCTGCGCACCAACAAGGCGCTGGATGGAGACTTCGAGGTTCCCGGGATGAGCATCTGGACAGACCTACTGCTGGCCCTGCCTGGTGGTGCTTAACTGAGTGTGGGAACATGTGAGGTTCTTAAGTCCCAGGCTGAGCATCTGGACAGACCCATCTCAGGGAGGGATGGAGGAAACAGCAAACATCTCAGCCAAGCCTCCACACTCTAGTGTCCTGCTACTACTTGACTGTATATACAGTTGCAAAATATCAGCGTTCTCACCAATGCCATGTGCTACATGGTCCCCAAACCTAATTATTTAGGTGCCAATTGTAAGTGGTTCGTAACACAAGCACAAATATTCTTTGAGTTTTCTAGATTCCAGAAATAGTGTTATTTCCCTTACGGTGGTGGAGCCAAGATCTTGGTTGGCCATGTTAGGCAAGTGCTTCACCACTGAGCTACACCCCTGCCCTTGGAAGAATTCTTAAAGCCATGGAATTTTCAGCTTGCTTTGTGTAAGGCTAACTTGTAAGAATACTAAAAATAGATACACCTTTTAAAGGAAAAAGCAACCTTAAATTTTCCAAGCCCACCTTTTTATCCGATTGACTTATTTTCCTTGTTTGCTGACTCTTTATTGGTGAAAAGTTTTGTTTAACCAGAAACACGTGGCAGAAACAAAATGTTATTTTCAAAGCTGACTGGGTTATAGTCAAGATCTAGATGTGCCTTCCTTAACCTGTCTACCAACCTTAATGTGCATTAAAGCTGTGTGTTCAGAAAAGTTCTGTCCCTCGTTTGTACAAATCACTACTCTCAAAAGTCAAAATAACAGCATACCGAAGCATTTCTTGAGAACACACCTAGTGTTTAGAGCACTGTAAATGTAAATGTATCCTGGGATTTCGATTGGATGGTAAAGAAATCAAACTAGTCAGTTAGAGAATCAAGGACACTTGTGCTATTAATCAGGTTGAGTTGACTTTTTTCTTCCTGGTTGCTGGATGGAGACTATTGGGAGTGTTTGTGACTAAGAACCCAACTTACATCTTCTGGATTCTGACAGGATTTCCTTGCGCATTTACACAGGAGCAACAGCTCAGCCAAACTCGTTATATTTTCAGCACCTTGGGACATTTTCCTACTCACTTTTTTCTGGTCACTCTCAGCAAGGGATACTTTCCTTTTTCTTCTGGACCCTTGGCAGCTTTTATTATTTTTTATGAAGCTAGTCAGTATCTCTTTTGATGTTTTAGGGTCTCTGTTGCTGTAGTTAGCCTGGAACTCACTGTCTGCTCATGCTATCCTCAGAGTCCTGCAGTATTCTCCTGCCTCAGCCTCCTAAAGGCTGAGTGTGAACCAATGCATATAGCTGAATTCTGTGTTTCCATGGTTTTGCTATTTTAATATTGTTGCATCTCACTCATAGCTTGTTTTCTGTTTTTTTGTTTGTTACAGGAGGAAACTTAAGTTTCATATAGTAAAGGACATCTTGATTCTCTCACAGTTTTATCACTTCCGTTTCAGATGACTTTGTGGGTTCCAAGCTTGTGTCTCCATTTACGTATTGGCTTTTGTTTATTTCTTTTGATTTTAGGGTTCTTTTGGGAAACACCTCAGGGTGATAAACATTTTAGTGTGTATTTACAAATGCATGCCTGACTCCCGTTGAAAGATGGTTTTGCTGTCCACGTGCTTTTCAGTTAACGTTCAGCGTGTCATTCATCTCTCTCTCCTTGTTGGTAAAGAAGGGAAGCCATCCTCAGGCTACAGTTCCTTTGTCAGTGGACTTCTTTCTATTTTAAAGCGATCCTTGGTTCAACATCTGCATCCCCACCATTTCCTCCATGTTCCTATTGTTCTTAATCTGTCCTCTGACTGGTTGGGCCTATACTAGGTTTAAGTTCCCATATCCTAAAGCTATTTCCTGGCTGTCTCCTTGTCATTTTGCTGCTGTGGAAACTGCCGGTCTCATGTGACCCATTTCCCGGTTCTGATATTCTGCCCCAGATTTAAACCTGCAAATGACTACCCAGCCTTGGGGAAATTTTTTTCCAAATTCCACTGCAGTTACACTGGCTTGGGGCACCTTGTGAATAAGGAGAAGTAGGATCTACATCATATTTTCCCTCTTAGTGGGCTGATGTCAGTGTGCTGCAGTGAATTACCTGGGACCGAGACTGGAGAGGGGTCACCTGCCTAGCCACTAAATATGCCTCCCTTTTTATTCAAATGATTGTTTAGGGATGTGTGTATCTATCTATGTTATATCAACAATGCCGAGTAGTAGTGGCAAGGCTTTGGTAATTCAAGGCCTGCCTGGCATGTACTCATATATTTGTAACATATCTCACGTGTTTGTTTGTTTTTAATTCCAGGATTAGTTTCTAGCATTGGTTTTGTTGTTGTTGTTGTTTGTTTGTTTGTTTCAGATCTGCTTTATCTTTAAATAAATATGTATGTGTGTCTGTATGTGGATGTTTGCATGTGAGTAAAGATGCCCTTAGAGGTCAGATGGAGAATCCTGTCACCTAGAGCTGGAATTACAGGTAGCTGGGAACTGTCCAGTGTGGGTCCTCTGCAAGAGCAGCAAATGCTCTTCAGCACTGAGCCGTCAGCCACTCGTTTTTTATAATCTACATTTCACTTCAGAGTCTGAAGTTTCTTAAGCTGAGATCAATCCCCACTGCATTGATGGGACTCCTTGTTTCTTTGTGTGCTTTTGTTTTGACTTTGTTGTTTTTGTTTGTGTTTTGAGTTGAATTCCTTGGGCTGTACATCTTGGTTGTCTACTTGTGTGGATCTGTAATCAACTAAGAGACAGGCTTCTGGAGACGTCTGAAAGGTATCCCCTGGGAAGATTAACTCGGGGAGAAGACCCACAAATACACCCAGTATCCTTCCGACCGCCCAGGTATTTGGAGACCAGAAAGAAAAGCAATTGCTTTGGGCTGCCTGCCTTGACCCTTGCTCGTGAGTGTATATACTCTCCACGTATCTCACGTATGACAACATGCTCAGTGGAAACAAGCCCACTTCTGACTCATTTCTCCTGGAGCATCCTGAATGTCTGGGTGGTAACTGACACTCATATGTAACTGATCGCTATGCTTGCGCGAATGGAAATAGAGCAAAACATTGTGACAGTATCTTCACCAGAGTCATCTATCTAAAAGGTAAAACCCATTTTAGAAGTGATTTAAGTAGAATAAATCTGAATAATCAAGGCCCAATACATTGTGACTTTCTCAGATTTCAACCCAGCAGCCTTAAATACTTCCCAGAGTTACTTTATTCAACACAGAGTTGAATCTGTGTTCATCCATGCCCTGACTATTTCTGAGGATAGCCTGGGCTACATAGTGCATTCAGGCTAGTCAGGGGTAAGTCCCAGGCCAGTCTGAGCTACTTATGAAATCCAGGCTAGCCTGGACCGTAGTATAAGATCTATGACCTCCCCTCAAAAAGAATTTTGTTACTGTGGATGAATTTTCAAGTTTACTCTTCCCCTCTATCATATTTTGACTCTGATGTTGTATGCCAAAGTTCAAAAGTAGAACAGGTTATAAACAGAATGACCCTTCTCCTAAAAATTTAGCACTTATAAGATATTCATTATTGATACAAGTTAACTGATGTAAACAGTCTAAGAAGCAACCATTGATTTTTCTCAAGATTTAATTGGAAATGATCAATTACTCTATCATGAGCATGGCAGCACCTCATTTATCAGATGCTTATTGCCCTAGTGGGCTAAGGGTGCCCTTTTGACTTAGGAATGTCGTGGCCCTAAGGGAAGGAGCTTAAATCATTACAGTGATGGCTGGCTCCCTCTGTCTCTGAGAGCTGCCTTGCTCTTCACACTGCAGTTAGGTTTTGAATTAAAAGGAGCTTGACCCTTTTAATGTGTGTAAAGTCCCATTGTGGTTGGGACACTGTCTTTTCACAGTGAATATTCCGGTCACACCCTGCAGCAAGTCCACAGGCCGTTACGGTCAGGTCCAAAGGAAACTCCCATTCCCCAAACTCCCAAAGGCAGTCCAAACAGCCAGAATGACTTCAAAGATGGGAACTGGTTTTGTGCATTCCTCAGGAATGCTGGCTTTACTCTACCCACTGAAAATGTTTCTGTGGTCCAGGTTGGACTCGTTTCTGGTCAGATAGAACTTTGGCGTTTAGGGAATTGGGGTTTCCTTTGGACCTGACTGTGATCATGGGGTTCTAGCATGAAAACTGAGTTTACATTTTATGTTTCCGTATGATACAAAGACGCTCTCAAGCTCAGAAGGCCATCTGTGGTAACCTCTAGATCCTAGCTTCAATTTGAAGTTGGCTTCTACACAGTTTAAAAAGGCAACTTGTTCCAAAATCAAATTTTTGTCTGTGTTTATCACAACATTCTTTATGACCCTTTACTTCTACATTCAAGTGGCAATTTTTTTTACTCATCTGGTAAGCGCTGTTGCCACTCTGTTGTTGAGATTTAATGTGCTAAAAAATATTAAAATCTAATTTCCATAATAAACTATTTTTGTGTTTTAAAGTGATCTTGCTGAGTTGCCCAGACTGACCTTGATCTCAGGGTTTCTTGGCTCTGTCTCCATAGCAGTGGAGATGTGTGTTGTCCCATCATGCCTTGCTTGTGATATATATATAGAGAGAGAGAGAGAGCCAAAAGTCTCATATTTTTAAAGACTATTGAGAAAGTAGAATGTAAAGAACATGTTTGTTTTAGGTAAATACTGGGTCTGTTCATGCGTCAGCTCAAAACTCTCAGACGGCTGCTGAAATGTTCATTACTGTGCTGAGCTTTTGACATGATACCAATAACTTCAATACGATATTCTGTGCGAGGCTATGCATATACTTAGAATATTGACACAGTGCCCTCGGGGATTTAAGCATGTGTGCTGTTAGCTCTCAGTGAATGTAGATGTAACCATGGGAGAACATAGCCAGATTTCTTTGCAAGTCTCAGACACATTCAGTACCATAAAAACATCTGATGTCAGCTTTTAAATTGACCTCACCAGTGTCCCCAGTCAGATTCTGTGGGACACTGAATAAAAACCAAGACAAGTAGAGGAAACAGGTTTGTTTGTAGGGAGAAGATGGGCTGATAGGCATGCAAAAGAAGTCGGGGGGAGGGTGTAGAATCCACAGTGCACATGTATGAAATTGTAAAAGAACACAGTCTACCCACAATGATAACTGAATTTGTATCTACAACTAAACTTTAAACAGCCTTCAGTGTAATAACAATTAAATATTTTAAAAGTAAATCCTTGAAGTTTATTAGTTGTTTTACCTTCTCTTCTAAATGTAAAGAGATCTCATAATTTGGAATACTTTGGGCAGGAGGAAGTTGTCCATTTTCTGTTGTAAAAAAAAAAAAAAAAAACAGAAAACGCAAAATAATGTCAGCAGTATTTTAGACAAATCCTCGGGATTTTACCTGAGCAGAAGCAGCAGTGAGTGGGAGAAGGGCTCAGGCAAATATGTATTTATTTCTCTCTGGTCTGTTTCCCAATAAATACAAAAGCATGGGTTTTTGACAGGGCCAGATTGGTGTTGCTGTTGAAACAGAAAATAAATGGCGAGTGACTAATAAGCATTTTACAGCAGATACATGGCATAGTCCCGGTCAGCAGAGGAAGGCTGCATATGGGGTAGCTATAGTAACCAAATCCCATCGAGCCCTGCCACCATGTTCTAATTATAGCCAGGAAGCCCTGAAACCTGTGCGGTGCAAATTGGCCCCTGTAGATTCAAAATGACTTCATTGTTGCCACAGACATTAGCTAAGGAAGAGTATTTGAAGAATTTATATTAAAACCGGATTCTTCAAATAGACTATTACCATGGCTGTCACAGCATTATAATTCATTGACATTTTTTTTCAAGAATCTGTTTTTATGTTACAGGAACTAAAGGGCAGGAAGGAAGCAAAGCGGGGAGTAGTTTTAAAACTTTAAAATGGCTTTAACACCAGTTTTTACCAATGACACGATTCCTAGAAAAACATTAACAATTCTTGAAGCTTCCATCTCATTCTCATGCTATGTAGAACCATGTCATTCTTTAACAGAGCAACGGAAACGTGGCTATTGAAAACCTTTTTAGGATGTGACTCTTAGTGGCACATTACATTCATGGTGCTCCATCTGACAGTGCATTGTCACTGAGCCAGAGACACGACTTGAGACATACCCTGTTTTCTTGCCTTCAAAAACTCTGTGATATTTTCTTCTTTTCCTAGTGTCTCGTGAAAACTCCGTCATTTGCACTGGTTTTTCTTCACGTAAAATGCCAGTTCCTGCTGCTCCACTTTTTTCTTTGACTGTCTTTTGCAGAACGTCAATGCTATTTCTTTTGGGATGTAGTTCTATAGAATTTTGTTCTATTTAGTTACATTTCACATTTTAAATCTCTCTGTGTGCGGGGGGGGGGGCGGTATCTTTTGCCAAATGTCACCATTATGTTTTAGAATTTTTTTTTAACCTCCCTTACCTCATCTTATCCTCATTAGAGTCCTTCCTGTTGGGATAGTAGAGTTTCGTTTGTTTGGGATCCAGTTCGGGAGTCTCTACTGTTTTAGCTCTGAGGGCAATGATTCTCTCTGACTCTTATTTCTGCCCTTGACCTTATTCACTGAACTTTAGTTCAGTATTGTGGCTTTCATTTTAAATCTAGACTTTAAAAGGACATTAAAATAGAAGGTGACGTATTTAAGCAAAGGATGGGGAGTCGTGCAAATGAATATGATTAAAGGGTATTATATACATGTATGAAGAAGTAATAATGGGCAGCATTTTGTACAACTAATGTATACAATAATTTTTTTTTCTCTTTCTACATTTGTACTTTCCCACACTTGCTTCAAGAGTGTCTGGAATTCCTTAGATGGTTTTTGGAGTTATATCTCTAAAGTCTCTGCTGGGTAACTGCAGCATGTCCTTTGTCTCTGCACTAATCTCTCTGGGCTGTCTTTTTATTCATTTCTATTGGACACATTTATTTATTGTTCCATCCAAAGTAAGGAAAACCCCCATCTAAGCCCTCAGAGGTTGCTTAGCAGAAGGTGTTTGAGACTTTAAGATGAGAGTTTCAGCAGAGGGTATTGACCCCAGTCTCCAAGCCTGGGCCTGAGCCTCCACAGAAGGCAGATTCTGTGATGAGTAAATGTATGAGAACCAAACAGTGGGTGCAGCCTGCTGTTTGGTACTTGGATGTGTAGACCTGTACTGAAATCAGTCCTCACCTGGTAACTTCTGAATGCAGGAAATTGAGGTGGAGGATTGTCACAAACTGAAAGTTAGCTGAGGCACAGGGTGAGTTCTAGGCCAGCCTGGGCTACAGAGTGAAGCCATAGTGAAATAGTGTGCTTACAAAGAATTTTGCTCTAGAATTCAGACCTTAATGTATAAATAAATACTCCTATTACTATTGGTAGCTTTGGGTTGAAAAGAACAGTAAAATATCTAAAAGAAACATTTAAATATATTTAATACAACAGACCATGTTGACTTTGTGCACAAATCTATAGCTATAATTAATAAAACTCAGATTCTTGTGTGCATATATTACTTTTGAGTCATTTCTAGTCTTTATGTATTATTCTAGGGAAAAATTATTAATTAAGACATTTCCGCCAAATATAGGTGGCTAACACCGAGGGTAGAATTTGAGAGAGCTTTGTTGGTCCCAGATTTCTGGAAATGTCTGCCACCAGGCAAATCCTTCACATTTAGCTTTAACTACAGCTTTTGTGGTGATGCCATGCAGACCATCCCTCAGTATGATTGACCCGTCTATATGTGCTCCCCATAGTGCTGAGTGTGAATGTTGTCCTCATAGAGCTCTGACTCTGTTCTCTTGCTCCACAAATCAGGGGAAGTAAGAACCATATAGACATGCAAAGTATTGATGCAGACCTTTTACAGGTCAGAACGTGTCATGCCCACTTATCCTCCAAGCTCAGTGGCGTGAGATGTTTACATCAAGACGTATCTATTTATCAAAAAGAGCTGAGTTTTCTTCAGCCATTCCTGACTTTAGTTCCATTTCAGCCAATCTGTAGCTTCTGTGGTATAAGACTCAGAGCATGGTAAGGAATTAACAAGACCTAAGACATATTTATCACATAAAGGTTTATTCCTTCATAAAAGCCATGTTAACTTTTGAATTATTCAAACAATGTAGCATAAATAAATTACATGGTTCCAGGCTACTCATTCCATATAGTTATCAAAAGCAATTTCATTCACTCATAAGCTCGAGAAAGCCATGAACCACTATTATGCATTTTACCACAGAATCTGTAATCAGGACCTGAAGTTTCATGTTCTCTAAGTGTTTATTGTATGCCAAGTGAATCTGTTACTTATTTGATCTATCACTTTCCATACAATTCTGTTCAGGAACTTCTATGTTAATGTGTAGATGATAAATGTCATTTAATCAAGTGATTGTTTCTTCAACTCTTAAACTAAAGCAAAAGTAAGCACTCATGACTTGAACTCAGTGATAAAAGCCAGAAGAGGTCCAAGGCCCATGTTAAGCTTTGCTGTTTGTTCTGA